GGTGCCGCCGAGCGCCGGCAGTGTTTAGTATGCTGTTCTGCTCGGTAAATAACACCTGACGGCCGCCATCTCAAGCGTGACAGCATGGTGTGCAGGTGAACAGGAAGAGAGCTCGACGGTGCGAACCAGGCGTGACATGGCAGCCTGTCAAAGGGGCATTTACCGGCCTTAATGTGGCACGACCGCGAGCCATCAGAGGGCTGACCTCCAGACCATCCGCGACGCCCTCTGTCCCTCTCATGGGACGGAGCCTCACCATCGAGCCTCATCCCCGGATTCTCCTCCTTAGCTCGATAAAAAGACACCTGCGAGCCTCATCCCCCGGATTTTCCCCCGCGTAGCTCGATAAAAAGACCCGTTCTCTCGCTCCCCTTCCCCTCAGACGACACAGGTGGCTGCTCAGGAGGCGGCGAGCACGCGGTCATCGCCAGTGAACCTGCACAACCCATCGCTCCGGTGGTCGTCTCCGCCGTCTGCGGTCCCAGCTGACGGGCGGTCCAGAGAACGGTGCACAAGGTCAATGAGCCGGTCAGACGGGCCGAGGGGGACAGCTGGAGGAGTGACTTCTCTCCTCAGCCCGATCCGCTGCCGGAGGGAGACTCGTGCGCTCTGCATGGCCGGCTATTTGTGGGCGAGATAATCGGTGGGCGCTTAGTTTTGCAGATGGCAGTGACCTCAGTTTAGGTGGCAGCTGCCCGCGCCACGACGACCACCAGCTTTACTGGCTCAGCTTAGCTAAAATGGCAAGCTAGCTTAGCTGCATAGATGACCTGTGACCGGATGTCCCGATGGCAAGGCATGCTCATTGCTCAATATAAGTTCACTTCTATTAGCTGGGGCATTCCACGTCAAATCAAACACCGAAATCCGTCATCCCCTTCGATTTTTCTGAAAATTTGTAGGCAGACTGGGCATGGTTCAAAACTGAGTTACGTATAATATTTTCGAAATTTGATAACGTATCGCTGAGATATAGGTCATCGAATTTAGCGAAAAATGCCACACATCAATTTTTTAAATGGCTATAACTCTGGTTCCTTTTCTGGTATCAAAATGATATTAACAGGGTCTTACAGGCAATTGATAAGGCTTTGATTTTTAATTATAAAATTAAATTGAAGTGACCTTGAAATGCTTTTGACCTTGAATTAAAACAGAAAAATTTAAATAGCAAAAAACACGTCACCTTCGATTTGGCTAATTTTTACATATTATGTCCGTCACAATGTTCCTAACCATCTGTGAAAAAATTGGAGTGGGCCATTCATAACTTTCGCGGCAAACGCCGTTTTCATGCATCAACATCACGCAACCGCGCGTGACCTTGAAAGACAGAGTCAAGACATGCTTGCTTGTGTACACTTTCTGAAATGAATGATTGCTGATTAGTGATATCCTAAACTCTGCGAGAATGGAAATGCATAGTCATCGTAGTCAAGCATTCACGTTCCATAGTAAAAGTGTCTCAGGCAAACGGTATTTTGCGGTGAATTTTGAGCCGTGTGGAAATGCATCATGAAGTAAATTCAACGAAAACATTATCACGCAACGATATCTTCACGTCTTTTGATCTTCACTATACGAAAGAACATACATTTATAGTATGTATGGGGAATTTCTAGTTAATCCAATAATAAATATGGCAGTTAAAGGCCTGCTAAGAGTAACATGTCGCCGGCTGCAAGGCGGGCTCGGCCGATGCGGGAAATGCAGCAATCACAATTTTATGTTTACACGTTCATATTTCAATTGTTTACCAACCGATTTTCAAAATTCTTTCACCATAAGATTGCCTGTACATTTCTTAGTCTTCTCACAAAATTGGACGCGAATCGAACGAAATCAGCGGTAGGGAGCGCGATGTAAAGACGGAACCGTTCCGTTCCGTCCCGGCACAGTCTACAATTCAGGCGGCGCGTAGCGGTCGGCGCCGGCTGCCGAGTCGCCGCGTCGCTGCGGCGACAGGATGTTCACTTTACACCGCTATTACTAGAACAGTTGTGAACCGATTTTCTTATTGCTTGCACGATGAGATGTCCAATTCAATTCTTGACAGGTAGCCATAATAAATTTCGCATTAATCTTATGAGATATTGGCGAAAAACAGGAGGGGTGGGCGAAATTCGCTCTTCCTCCTCCACTGCGCGTGCTAACATACGTTTGCATATGTGCAATTTTCTTCAAAACTTATGAATGGCCCACTCTAATTTTTTCACAGGTTGTTAAGAATATGGTAGGCAATAAAATATATGAAAATGAGCCAAATCGAAGGTGACGTGTTTTTTGCTATTTCGATATTTGTGCTTAAGAACAGAGTTAAGCAAATTTCAAGGTCATATATTTAAGTAGGTGCAATTCTAAACAAATGCTTAAGAAATTACCTAAACAGTAAGGGTTATTTCATTCATATCAAACAAGTACAACCAAAGTTATGGTCGTTCAAAAATATAAAGATGCAACATTTTGTAAAAATTTGATGCCCTATATTTAGAAGACCTGTGGTCAGAATGTGCAAAAAACATCAATGTAATGTCCGGGGCCACACAGGAACTCGCTCACAAATTTATAATGAAATCGCTGATGGTAAGGTGCAAAACAGCCGATTTTTGTTCGATTTGACGTGGAATGCCCCAGCTGCTGTATCACTCGTCTCGACACACATAAAGGAGTTGACTTTTGAAGCGTCCGTGTTTTTGTGCAAGACACATTTGTGCAAGATTCATTCTCATTTATCAATTCTTCGCGAAGTTTTCACCAAGCCTCAAGGCTGTAAGCGAGAATTGTCCCGCTGCAGCCAGTTGCACTGCAACTGTTGCCCTCATCACCTCACTCCACAGCATTTTGGAATGTCGATAGAAGGGGCACCATGCTGCCGTGACCCACCACGGCACGGAATCCCCGCCCCGGCCCCGCATGGACCCGGAGCAGAGTACTGTGAACTGTGGTCACTGAGGCACGCCCGGTATTTACCGTCACATCGGCAAACAAACAGTCGGCGAACCGGCTACACGGGACGCCATAACACGAAGGGAGGGCCTCCTGTTAGTTCGTCACACGGAATCCTGGAGGATGTGGAGCGACACTTAGCTGTCGGACAGAAGTTCATAGGACAGGGTCTGTCGTTTAACACCTTGGCAGCTTCTCAGAAACCCTACCTGTTCTCGTATGGCGTCATATAACGCGCTTTCATAAACGCCAGGTGCGTGTAAACTCATGGCTGGCCTCATCTCCAAGACAGGTGATGAATCAGTTCGACGAAAACCCGTCCAGTCACTCCCCGCAGTGCCAGGAACCGCCACCACGAGTGAATATCTCTCAGACACCCGGGGTCCGTCTCAGTAGCCTGCATTACCATCAGATACGAGGCCGGACGCGTCACTGTGACCTTGGATGACATCAGAAGGAGACCGCGGCAGTGACAGTCCGGCGAGAGCCGTTCATGCAGCGGACGGGCGGGCGGAGCCGGAGATGGGATTAGATCAAGGTCGGATGAGAATATAACAGATGTTTCTTATAACCGCAAAAATGCATGCATACTGAAAATACATGCTTCTTGCAGAAGTTATCCCGATGGTAAATGTTGGAAGAAAAATGTTGCAAATCAGCAGCGAGGGAGTTCAATTGTGTGAGTATTTTGATATTTGCTACAAGTACAATAATGCATTGTTTTTTATACACCTGCTTCTCCTGTTCATTTACAATACGACAGCCACAGCCTCGCTGAACTTTCCACTCTGAGCCCGCGCCACCTGTGATGTGCGGCAGCTATTAGCACGCGGCTCAGCCGCAGTCCCACGGGGGTCAGACGGGTCCGGCCACCGTTCACCGGTCATGGCACGCGGCCGGCGGCCGGCGAGGCTGGCTCTGGGGCGGGTTCAACGCTCCACGGCCGGTCGCCGCCGCTGCCCGGTGCGCGTCGCGTGCAACTGACAGAGGCGCGTCGGGTCATTTCCCAGAACCCACTAGATGGCTGCGCGACACACGAGTCGGCTGCGAGTTACTTGGTTACGAATGGCACCGTCCAGCGAATAAAAGCCGTCCTGCAACTGATGGTTTATTGCCTGGATTGTTAAGCATTTTCATGTCGCGTGCAACTTGTGCATTATGCAATATGGGATGTGTATTATCGCTAGATGAAAGAAAAACATGACTAATCTTTCTTCATAAAACCACTGGAACGTATCCACAAAGGTCATTGCTTTTTATACTATAATGACATTTGGTTTTGGACTTGTATTAGGTACAACGTAAGCCACTCTTAGGTAACTATTTATTCTGGTGTGTTCAGTCATAAACCATGCAATCGTTTCAAGTAAGTTGATGATCATACATGCATGGCATGAGAATGGACGAATTTATCGTAGCGTAAAGCAAGGAAGCTGCTTGAATTTAAAATGGATGTGTCTGCTTTTTAAGCAGTGTCTGTCGACTCTTATTGTCGAAACACTGAATTACAGAATTTCTTGACGTCTGGTGGCGTGCAATGAAACAGGAAAGCTGTACGTACAAAATGAACTAATAAGTTTTATTGGAACGAAACCAGCTTGAAATGCACCAACAAATGCGTAGGATTCTAAAATTTACATTTTGTGTTTCGTTTAATTACTAGAACTAATGATATGTATGTAACTGCAATGCATAGGACTAACAGTTGATTGAAAAAAGACGGGATATATTAGAATGTCCGGCATCATAGAAAGATTAAAAACCTGTCCCTTTTGATTCAAATGTCATAAAGATGAAAACTGTCTCCACATAAGTCTTTAGAGAGCAGGTTTTGTGATAAGACGAGCATATTAAAGGTCATATCATAGATGACAGAAATTCGATCAAATATTCCAAGTTTTATCATCATCAGCCAGCCTTCAGAAATCTAAAATAACCATGGCTATATGAGTTGCTGCAGCAACGAACACTCAGGGGCCACGACAAACTATAATGCAATACCTACAATTCGTCCCCTATAATTCCGACCCGTACTCGGCTGTTTTAATGCTTACCTGAATCATGATCGCAGTTTGACACGGTAGACCTGTTTTCTGTCTGTCGATCTCTCGATCCGAGTCCGTGCTGCGTGTCCGTCCAGCGCACACCGGTGGCGGTCTCAGACGCAGCTCGCGGGCCGTGTTCCCAGCTCCAGCGCCGCGCAGCGACTGACTCGCCGCACTCCCCGTGCGGCGGCGGCGGCCGTCGTGTCGAGGTGAGCAGGCCCGGCTCGGTCCCTTTCACCGTGCGCCGCCCCTATCCCGACCGAACCGTGCCCAATGAACAGCCCCCCACAGCGCGGCCGGACTGGATGGCCATCAACAACCAAACTACCCAGACCCAGGGGAAAACAGAGTGGGGAAATACCAAAACACCTGAATGCTAGCGAGGGGTTGGTCGGTTTGAATGGACTCAAAAATATTTCTGAACGCTAATTGGTTTATTAAACCGTCCATTGTTTCAGGCGGACCAGTGTGGCTAGAATAGCGTACTATGTGAGATGTGATTGGAGTGGTCAAAACATCTGACTGACAAGTACATACGAATGCGAAACTCGTTTTGGTTGCACGGCCATTAGTGAATTATTTGAGGCATTTGCGATTACCTTATAACTATATTCACTTAAAAGTTTGAGTGCATGCTAAATGAGTAATGTTTCCACAAGTGAATTTATTAGCATGTGAATTTAAAATTGTTGTCTTGAGAACATATATGGTTGATGGCTGTGATGAGCATTGTTAGTATTATAGTTTTAGTGATGATGAAATAGCCTTTGCTCATACTTAATCGAAAAATGACGAAAAACAAAAAATATATAAAGACACTGATATTTCGCCCTTGTGGCTTCTTCAGAGTGAACATTTAAAACATTCATATTTGAAGCAGAGATGGCGAACGTGCGGATAACATTCTTTGCACCACCGATCACAAGTTGTTGCTACCATAAATAACAATAATCCAATTTTAACACTTTACCCTAAGTACTAATCCTAAATACATCTAAGTCAATGACACCTAAAATAAAAAGGCATGATTTACGATCACGATCTTCTCCCCAGACTGGCAGCATAGGTATACAGAAATAAAATGACGCATGTTGGCCTAAATAAGAACACACACGATCCCTACACAAATACACATTTGACACCGGTACCGAAATTTAGTAATTACAAGTAATTGGGTCCTACACCTCGTACTCAAATGTATCAACACATCACACCGAATACATTACACACGTGTAACATGTACATACACAATACACATCGATCGATGGCTGACAAACCGTACTCGTTCAGTGGAGCAGTGGCCACGTGTCGATCTGACCGTTCAGAGAGGGCTGCCTATCCCGGATAGCCTGAGCCTCGGCTATTTTCCGGTCAGCTGCGTCTTTGCATCTGCGAAGAATGGTGACAGATAGCCGAGGCTCTGACTCATTCGGATGGCTCTCCCTCATATGTTCTCCAAAGGGAGTCTGCCTCGTACGATTGGTGCCGTCTCTAAAATGTTCATCGAACCTGTATCTGACACAGCGCTTTCTTTCTCCAATGTATGTCTGAGGAGGCCCGTCGGCAGCTGCGCACATCATACATGTGATCTGATAGACGACATTTTTCGTTGTGCATCGCCCATGTAGTCCATTGTTACACGTACGGCAGAACTGCTTCCCTGCGCGACAGGGTGGGGGCTCTAAAGCCGAATGTACCAGGCGTTTGGCGAGGGTGTTGCCATTTTTGAGAAAGGCTCTAACCACTAATGATGACACCGAGCTCTGGTATGATGCAATTGACAGCGGGATCACTGTATGTCCGCCCCTGGCTGCTCCTGAACAGCCAATCCACTCAGGTGAGCCGCCACTTTCTATGGCGTCCGAGTGCCGCAGGAATGATTCGGTGCACAAACTGTTTAACATGACCGGTGTAGAACTGGAGCCGCACCTGGCTGCAGTGTTAGAAAAGGGCCCGAAATTTGCGATCACCCAACGAATCACCAAGCAAACTCTCAATGATGTAGAGGTGGGTGTTGAGAGGGCGATGTATGCTCTCCGCTGGAAAGTGGACATTGATCGGAGGCGGGCCAGCGCTCCTCATGTCGGTAGTGATCGTCCTCTAAGGCCTCACTTCGCTGATAATGATGCTTCCGTTCCACGCCTTGCCCCTATAGAGACAGAGCGAGCTATGGCCAAACTGAAACGTAAAGTCATGGGCTTATATCGTAACCACCGACTCCCAGCAGTTAATGTAACGCCTGAAGAAGAAGAAGCTGTTAGTAACTTAGCCAGCGACCGCAGCATCATTGTCAAACCGTCAGACAAATGCAAAGGCCTCGTTTTGATGAACAAAGACACTTACATGGCAAAGGCGAGGGATATACTTGATCAGTACGAACAGGTACCTAGTAACCCTACTCCTAGATTAGAAGCCTCAACCAAAAGAACTATTAAATCGGTTATGGACAACAAGGTAGACCAGTCACTTATGCAAGCCCTCCTGCCACAGGGGTCGCGCACTGCGGAATTCTACGGTCTCCCTAAGAATCACAAACCATCCGTCCCGCTCCGCCCCATCGTGTCAGCGTGTGGGGACCCCCTTGACAAGGTTACGTGGTTCTTAGATCAGATCATCTCTCAACTACTACAATACGTACCTGCCCATCTGCCAAACACCGACACGTATCTTCAGCGGCTGAGCCAAACGTATCCGAACGGCTTTCCCCCAGGTACGATCGTCTTCAGCCTAGATGTAACTAACCTATATGGGAATATACCTGTAGACGAGGCTGTACAAACGGTGATGAATCTGTTACAGGAACACAGAGAGACCATCAATTTATTTGACCTGTCTTGGACAGACGTAGAGCCTCTTCTAAGGCACTGTCTCACCAACAGCTACCTAAGATTCGGGCAATCATTTTACAAACAAACCCTCGGGTTACCCATGGGAAACCGTATAGCCCCGTCCACCGCTATCATCTTCATGGGAGCGCTGGAAGACATTTATTTGTCTGCAAACCGCGCTCAACCAGAACTGTACCTGCGCTACATCGATGACTGTTTCTGTGTCTGGTCACATGGTTCGGAGGAGCTCTCAGCTTACTTCGAATATGTCAACTCGGTTCACCCCACGATCAAATTCACCATCGAACGTTCCGACACAGCCAGTCCTCGGGGACAAATAGCATTTTTAGACACGCAGATCAGCGTGCACCAGAGCGGGCACTACAAAACGCAGCTTCATATCAAACCTGAAGCCGCATCCATCATCCTTCCTTTTGACTCGGCCCAGCCGTTCAAAACTAAAAAGTCGGTCGCTAAGTCCCAATTTCTACGAGCCCTGAAGGTTTCGTCAGACCCACAGAGCGCTAAGCGCAGCACTGACATGATATTTGACTTGTTCGTATCCAACGGCTACCCTCCACGCTGGCTGCACGGGATAGCGCGTCAGGCTCTGAAACAATACAACAGACAAAAGTATCCGACAGCTAACCGCACAAGTGACCGTAGTCACACAGGAGCCCATCCCAAACGTAGGGATAGGATATATGTGTCACTGCCTTTCATCAGTGACAGCCTGACCCGGAAAGTAGATGCGGCCCTGAAATCTGTTAATCCCAGCTTAACAGCATCGTGGAAAAATGGCAACACCCTCGCCAAACGCCTGGTACATTCGGCTTTAGAGCCCCCACCCTGTCGCGCAGGGAAGCAGTTCTGCCGTACGTGTAACAATGGACTACATGGGCGATGCACAACGAAAAATGTCGTCTATCAGATCACATGTATGATGTGCGCAGCTGCCGACGGGCCTCCTCAGACATACATTGGAGAAACAAAGCGCTGTGTCAGATACAGGTTCGATGAACATTTTAGAGACGGCACCAATCGTACGAGGCAGACTCCCTTTGGAGAACATATGAGGGAGAGCCATCCGAATGAGTCAGAGCCTCGGCTATCTGTCACCATTCTTCGCACTTCGCAGATGCAAAGACGCAGCTGACCGGAAAATAGCCGAGGCTCAGGCTATCCGGGATAGGCAGCCCTCTCTGAACGGTCAGATCGACACGTGGCCACTGCTCCACTGAACGAGTACGGTTTGTCAGCCATCGATCGATGTGTATTGTGTATGTACATGTTACACGTGTGTAATGTATTCGGTGTGATGTGTTGATACATTTGAGTACGAGGTGTAGGACCCAATTACTTGTAATTACTAAATTTCGGTACCGGTGTCAAATGTGTATTTGTGTAGGGATCGTGTGTGTTCTTATTTAGGCCAACATGCGTCATTTTATTTCTGTATACCTATGCTGCCAGTCTGGGGAGAAGATCGTGATCGTAAATCATGCCTTTTTATTTTAGGTGTCATTGACTTAGATGTATTTAGGATTAGTACTTAGGGTAAAGTGTTAAAATTGGATTATTGTTATTTATGGTAGCAACAACTTGTGATCGGTGGTGCAAAGAATGTTATCCGCACGTTCGCCATCTCTGCTTCAAATATGAATGTTTTAAATGTTCACTCTGAAGAAGCCACAAGGGCGAAATATCAGTGTCTTTATATATTTTTTGTTTTTCGTCATTTTTCGATTAAGTATGAGCAAAGGCTATTTCATCATCACTAAAAGCATGTGAATTTAACCTGTACCGTTGAATATTAGCCCGCGCCCCGCTGGGCTATTCAGCCATACGTGCCCTGCTGGGGGGGGGGGGCAGATTCTGCCCCCCCCCCCTGTCTAACTTCCAAACCGATGGTCGTAGAAACACGCGGAAAACGGCAATCGAAAGCTCTCAACAAGTCGGATCTAAAGAGTCCAATTTTTTTGCTTAACCCTCGCGGGCCCGGGGGGGCGTTTTTCGCCCCCCCCTGGCGAATATTTGCGATAGCTCCCGAACGCTTAGGGATAGGAAGGCGAAACTTTCAGTACCTTTTCTCCCATCAATTTGACATCTTCTGAAGTAAAAAATTTGGACCTAGCCCCCTTGATGACGTCACAAGGTCCATTTTTCTAGACCCCTGCACGGCAAACTTCGGCGTCACAGACGCAAACTTCAAATAGCTGCTAAAAATAAAGTTTTAGAGATAAAGACGAATTACGAGCACGGTTGTGTAGCGTTTGACCTAGAGAAAAATAGAAAAATAGTTTTGGTGACCTGAGGTCAGAGGTCAGGTCAACGACCCCGAAATGTGGTTTTAGTTTTTCGCAAATA